TCATATTCTATTCCTCCATCCTCTTCAACATTGGATTCCCTACAAGTCTTTCGTTTGCTAATGGGATTCTTCCAAAAACAAAACAAAACTTAAGACAAAAAAAAAATTAATAATTACTAGATGAGGTCCATTACCATACCGGTAGGAAACTGGTTTATAAATCCATATATCCCTAATTTTTGCTCCCATTCTCATTATATAAAACGTACCAGCTCGGTTCTCAAAAAAAAAAAAAAAAAAAAAAAAAAAGGTACTAGCTGGTCAAACGCAAAAACAAAAACAAACGATTGGGTAATAAAAACGCTCCGCCGGTTCAACGATTCAGAAACAAAAGCCTGTTTGACGAGAAAACCTTATCAGTGGATCCTTTTACAAGAAAAACAACCCTTTAAATCTATTGCTCAAATTTACTCTCAGCAATCAATCACACACACTCTCAACAACCATGACTCAATTCCCATCGAATCTTCCCCAAATCCCCTTATCCTTCTCCGCCGCCATCCTCGTCCTCGTCATCTTGTTGGGCCACTACCTGCCCGAACCGAGGCCCGAAAGGCCCATGTCATCAACTTCCGATCCCCAAATCTCTACCCGGAGGGCATCGCGTGGGACCCCTCGGCCCAGCACTTCCTCGTCGGCTCCCTAACCGACCGCAAAATCGTCTCCGTCTCTGACGCCGGCGTCGGCGAAACCCTACTCTCCGACCCCGACCTCCCCGAGAACGTCACCATCCTCGGCATCGCCGTCGACTCCCTCAACAACCGCCTCCTTGCCGCTGTCCACGCCATCGATCCCCTCCCTCACTTCAACGCCCTCGCCGCCTACGACCTTCGCACGCGCCGCCGCCTCTTCCTCTCCCCCCTACACGGCGCCGAAAACGACACCGTCCGGCAGATCGCCAACGACGTCGCCGTCGCCTTCAAGGGAAACGCCTACGTCACGAACTCCGCCGGGAACCTCATCTGGAAGGTGAACGACAAAGGAGAGGCCTCGATCTTCTCCCGATCGTCGGCGTTCTCCGCCCACGACGTCGATCGTGACTCGCCATTCGCGTTCTGCGGCCTCAACGGCGTCGCTTACGTCAGCGAGGGTTACCTCCTGGTGGTCCAGAGCAACACCGGGAAGATGTTTAAGGTCAGCGAGGACGACGGCGCCGCCAGGCTCGTCCTCCTGAACAAGGACCTGCCGCTCGCCGTCGGGATTACCGTCCGCGGCGACGGCGCCGTTTTGGTCGTCTCGCCGAATAAGCTTGGTTGCTGAAGAGCCATGACAGCTGGGTGGAAGGGGTAATTTATGACGAAATTGCCCTTGATGAGGAGAGATTTCCGACTTCGGTGACCGTGGGTGGCGACGGGAGGGCGTATGTGTTATATGGGCATGTTTTGGAGGGCATTATGGGGAATTCGGATAGGGAGGTGTTTGGGATAGGGGAAGTGAGGTCGGAGAAGGAGAATAAGGAAGAGAGTGTTTGGATATTCGTTTTGGTTGGACTCGGGTTGGCTTTGTGTTTTGGAGATTTCAGATGCGGAAACTTATCGCCAACAGGACTGTAAGAAATCACCCTGAATCTGACGAATCCGGACTAGCTGAGCTGACCCTACTTAAAAATTACGGATTTTTAATTTTTTATTTAATTTTCAGTTTTAATTATGTCTAACCCGCACTGTGCAGGTAGGGGCGCGGAGTGGGGTTACATGAACCCGAGATAACTCTACCCGGCCGAACATATTCAAAGTAGGTAAAATAATGTCCAACACTTCAAATTCTTACTTTCATAAGTTTATGGACTTTATGCTTATAAACTGTTAACTTATTTATGTTTTAGATTCACGGTTTGTGTAAAACATGTTTGTATGTCATAGTTGTTGAATTATGACATTCTTTATTTATATTAGAAGTGTTTGATTTCAAAATGAGTGTTTTAATTGTTCACCTTGCATTTAGACCCCCTCTTGAAGGAAAGACAGTTCTGTTTGATAATGATTTCTTCTGTAACAAGCACAGATTAATTGACTAAAAATTGATTAAAATTGATGAAGTCATAGATTAAAATTGGTTTTCACCAACCCGAGTAATCCGACCCTACCCGAGGTCACCCGAAAGGTTACGGGTTTGTAGACTTAAGAGAGTGTCACGGCCTAAAATTTTCTTAACCCGCACTGGTCGGGTAGGCTCAATTTTTCGGCTCAATCCTACCTTACTCGGTCAATTTACACCCCTAATTGCTAACATGGGCAAAAAGAGAGAATTTGGCTAAAATAACTGAGTAAAAAAGTAAAATTAAGAAAATGACTTTTTAATTTTAATTTTATTTATTTTATTTGAATAAATTCTTAATTCCACGATGAGAAAGGGAGACAGGAGAGGGGGGAGAGATCTTGGGTTTGTCGGCAACTAAGCGGCGGCGACGACAATCCGAGGCGGCAACAGCGACAATTGACAGCGACAATCGACGGCGGCGGAAGCTGGAATCGGAGCCTACGATGCTGAGAATCAGCGGCTAGAGAGAGAAGGAGCGAGAGAGAGGAAGAAAGGCGGAGGAATTTCTGACAGAGATGTGGAGATGGCGAAGTGTTTCCGAAGAATGGGAAGAATGGCTTCTTCCGGAGAATGAATGTGAAGAAATCAAACAAATTTGCTTTTTTTTTCGTTTTTCTTTCTTCTCAGAAAGTCATTTTGCAAATAAAAATTTTTGAATTGTCATTTTATGAATAAAGCTTTTCTATTAGATTATTTTTACAAAGGCCTCGTAAGAAGACAAACTGATGTTTGTCCCTTTAATTTTAATTTTGCGACACGTCGTTTTTAATTTATAGTGCTTGTGACTGATTGTGTTGGTTACTATTTAGGATGTTACGAGCATGTATTGCGGAATACAGTGTTATATCACATGAGAAATTTGAAATTGTTAAAACATATTTACATATATATAGAGTATTATTATTTAAAATATATTTTCAATGCATATATATATAGAAAGTAAGATACATGTTGTCTTGCATTCTCATATATATATATATAAAGTAAAATACATTGTTGTTGTCTTGTACTCTCATCTTATTTTTTTTAACTGCAAGACATAAAAGTTAAAAAAAAAAGTTAGTAAATATAAATATTAAAGACGTCAAAAATAATTATTTTATATACTATAAAATAAAGATTTCAGAAATATTTATATTACTTTATTTTTGGACGTTTTCCACATTGTTTTGTTGTTCTTGATTCAGAACTAAAAATGTGGAAGATTTTTTAGATATACATTTAAATTATTGGATAATATTTGCTATACTGAACATGTTTTACCTTGTGACAACATATTTAAATTATTGCAGCATATTTGCTATACTTAACATGTTTTAAATTATTGGGCAATATTTGCTATAGTTTAGAACCGCAGTATGCACTGGTACGACAAAAACAACATATTTAAGAAGAAAAAATGAAGTAAAAAACTAAATATAGTATGATACAATGACAGTAAATAAAAATCAAAGTTATTAAAAATGAAAGTTAGACAAAATTTTAAAAAATAAGCACCACAAAACGACATAAACAAATAAAAAAACCCTGACTTAGCAAATAACATTAAAAGTAAAAGGAAAAATAGATTAAAACATATTGGCATAAATCTAAAATAATAAAGGCAATGTCAATGACAGCCAAGTCTGTAATAACAATCACTGAGCACATGTTGTTGCAGAATGTAGTATGTATAAATAAGTGACAAATAAAATGTAAAAACTGATACATTAATAACTAAATTATAATTCAACAATGCATTTGACAACCAACTAAAGATAAAGGAACCAAAAAATATTATAAGAAATATTTGGTTCAGGTTATTATCTTCTATTGTTAACAACACACATCATAAGTAATTGAAACATGACGTAGCAATGTATTTAGCTGCTAGCTGAATTAATAAAGGGTTTATACTAAAAATTAAATAAATTAAAACATCTTAGAGCCTTTATCTATAGTAAAACGCATAAAACAACACATTTAACAACAAATAAATAAGTAAAAAATTGAAGACAGATTATTACAATTATTGTACATAAAGACCAAAGTAACTTAAATTAGAACAGAAACAAATTTTTGTAATGTGAACATAAAAAAAAATAGTAACTGTTTAAAGAACACTGACTCATCAAATAACATTAATACCATAAGAAAAAGAAATTGTAACACGTCAGCATATACTCCAGACAATACGGGCAACATCAAAACCAACAATGTCTCGATTAACAGTCACCCAATATGTGTTAATAATAAAAGGAAATAACAACATCATCACCAAAGAAGAATAAAATTTTTAAAAAATTTAAACTGTTCACAGAAAAACAAAAAAGGAAAAATACCAACCTAACCAATCAGTAATGTAAATAACTGCAATAGTAAAGAGGAAAAAAAAACTTTTACAAAACAAATGATAACAGCAGCATAAAAATAGAGCATAGTGAAAAGATAAAGGAAGATATGAACAACTTCATATAAGAAATCAAAACAACGTCAAATCTAAATAGTTTTTAACAGTAAAAAAACAAATGTAAGAACAAAAACACAATACCTTAATGGAAGAAACGTAGTGAACAGGATAGATCCACCAGAAAAATCAAGATCCAAAATCAAACATAAGCATATAGAATATCCCAATATCTAAAACTGACGAAGGAAAAGAAGGAGCCGATTTTGCCAAAAAAACACGAACAATACTAACATAAGCCTAATATGAAGATGTTTTTTAAAGAGTAAGAAAAGAAAGAAGGCAGAATAGGCATTATATATATGCTGAAAGTAAATTTTTAAATCTCCAATACAAATTTCTGCAAAGAGGGATAAATCAGATAAATAATTTTTTTTACCGCAAGTGTCTTCAAGCATGCAAATCACCACGAGAAAGAACGAATAAGCAACGGACACAAAAATATCAGGTATCTATTAGAAAAATCTGCAGCATGAGAAAAATACATGTCAAAATATAACATTAACACGGTAAGCTAGTAATAATCCTGCAAAAAATAAAGTGAAGAAAAACATCATGAGAAAACTGGTCAGATTGAAAAATAAGAAAATAAGGGAAAAAATTTTGAACAAAATATGCATCGAAAACATTCTGAAATAAAAGAATTAAGACAAATAAATCATACATAGTAAACAAAGAAACAAAAGAAAAAAAGAAACAAAAATATATAAAAAAAAAAGGAGAAAAAAAACCTAAAACATAAAATAGTCAAAAAAATGAAAAAAAAAAATTCCGTGAGAAAGAAACAAAAAAAAAAGAAAAAATTTATCCAAGAAAATAAGGACGGAAAAAAAAACTCTAAAACATAAATAAGTGAAAAAAAAAATATAAGAAAAAAATTCCTTAGAACGTATAGAAAAAACGTTAGAAATAAATTTATGAAAAAAAAAATAGAAGAACGAAAACCAAAATCATCCAAAAATAAATAAAGCAAAATTAAATTAATACTTAAAATTACAACACAGGAAAAAGGAATTTTATGAACAAAACACTAAAAATGAAAATAAAAATTTATACAAAGATGAACAGAGAAAAATTTTAAAAATTGAGAGAAACAAAAAAAGGAAAGAACTATTTTTTTTTTTTTACAAAAACCATAAAACATCTAAAGAAGGGAAAATATACTCTGATCTCAATCCAGTTTTGCCAAAACATCAAAAAAGGAACAAAGCAACAAAATTACAAAAACCATAAAACATCTAAAGAAGAGAAAATATACTTTGAAAAACGGGAAGAGAAAAAAAATAAACGATATCCTAAAACATCAAAAAAAAAGAATTCGAGAATAAAAACTATATTATGAAATCGTTAAATTTTAGGCAAATCCCAAAACATAAAAAAAGAAAAAGAAAAAGAAATGAAGAAACATATTTGAGGAGATGAACAGAGCATAGAAACAAGAAATGGTAGAAGGTTCGGTGTGAAGAAAATGATGTAAAAAAAAATAAACGATATCCTAAAACATCAAAAAAAAAGAATTCGAGAATAAAAACTATATTATGAAATCGTTAAATTTTAGGCAAATCCCAAAACATAAAAAAAGAAAAAGAAAAAGAAATGAAGAAACATATTTGAGGAGATGAACAGAGCATAGAAACAAGAAATGGTAGAAGGTTCGGTGTGAAGAAAATGATGTAACCCACCGAATAGACAACAGGACATAAAATGACAGAGCAGAATTAAAAAATCAAATGAAAGAATAACAAAGGATAAAAGATAAAAAATACTATTCATAGCACTGTAGCATGAACAATAAAACCCTTCATTTCCTTTAGTATATATACAATAACATTCCAATTTTGTTTGCTTTTAGAATGGAGTGACGAAATAAGTATTGTAGTTGGTGGGTGAAGAACATGACCAATCGTTAAACTCCACGTAAGAAAAATATAAAATTGGTAATCATGTTACAGAGTCCTATATATCCTAATAATTTAAGAACAGAGAATTGGTATCTGGTTCTTATGTAGTTGTAAATATTAAACTCATTATTCTCTAGCATTTAATTACTTCCAGATAAACAGAAAATTAATTTCCATAATAAACAAATGAAAAAAAAAACCTTCCATGTAAAAATACTTTGCATGCACGCTTTCGAAAATTTCAGAAGAATCTAGAGCCTCTGAATTAATAGCATCCTAATTATGCTTCCCTTAGATTAATGGAGTGGGGAGATTAGTGTTTAGTCTCAGATGAGATTAATGCTCAGCTAGTGTTAAACACCAAGTTAATTAGAAAACAACACGGTTAGTTGAACATCTTTTAGTGTATCTAACTAGAAAAGAGTAAATAAGACTAACGATTCTACGATGTTACATTTACATAATAATACTAGGCTAGCCAATCATGATTCCTTAACTTATATTATAAACTTCCTTGTTCCCCCCAAAAAAAAAAGAAAAAAAAAACTTCTTTAGTGCATCTTCTGAACCTCAGAGAAATAACATCCAGAGAGTTTGGCTTTCAATGAATAATAACAACTCAATGGTTCAAGGACAACATTGTTGATGGTTTGAATTGTCTTTAAATTTTCCTCTCTTAAATACCAGTTTAAATCTTGAACTGAGATTTGAATCCTAAATAACAGTATGAGTTGTTGAAATAAATAAGGACATT